ATTCAATAATGGAAGAAGATTGAGTACATTCTATCAACCCTAATACATTCCTTGATACATATAGAAGCGAGGAAGACCTAAAACTGGTGAAGAAAGAGGCGCATGGACTAGAGCAAAACTTGAAAAAATACCAAGAAAGTGTAAACACGAATTCACATTTAGAGGCCAATTCAAGACCTTTGAACCATTCCAATCGTCTCCTGAGGTCATCAGCAAGCCAAAGCAATCAAGAACAAAGCATTTCCAGTACCAAAAAGCGTTGTAAGCCATCCACGACATCCATGAACTTTTGAATTCGGTTTGCACGATTTAGGCATTGTTAACATGAATTAACCATATATTCTTGATCCATGGAATATTTGCAAGCTTTCTATATTATTTGATTGCATTTTCATGGCCTATAGTGGATTTCACCATTATTAGGGTTCTTTGTTTCAAATTGGGATTTTCGCTTACAGGAAAAATTTGGCCATAAAAGGGCCACCTTTATGTTCAGCAAGGCCAGACGAAGCCATCCATGGCCTTCGTTTTTATTTATAATGCTTGTGTTAAGTTTTGAGATTTACAGGGGCAATAGCTACGGACAAATATCCGTAGGTAAAAGTTTGAAACTTTGACCAACGGAACTAGGTTGAAGATGACTGCGTGGCACCCCTCCATTGGCTTGTTCAAAATTTCGCGCGTTGATTTGATACATAGGGTCTTTTTAATATTTGATTATTGTTTTGTATTATTATGACAACAAGAACAAGTGGTGCAGTGGTGAGTGTAGCGTTGATAATTGCTTCAGAACCTGGGTTCGAATCCCAGGTCACCCACTTTTCTCAATATTATTTTCTTTCAGGCAATCACATGCGTATGCAAAGCCAAGATCCACCATACGTGCTCATAATCCAGGTTGCCAAGTGGCTTGAGATCCAGATCTAAGAGCCAGCAATGGAGGAGCACCATGAAGCCTCAGTCAAAGCAACGCACTGGATTCACAAAGTCAAACAAACCTCCTTGTTTTTGGGCCCAGAATTTTGATTCTTGCACCCCCCATTTTTGCTCAGGCCCAATTTCTTTCTTTATTCTTTTTTTATTTATTTGTTTTATTTAATTTATTTATTTTATTTACTAACACAAATAATTATTTTCTTTTATCAAAAAATCACAAAAATATTATTTTTCACCAATTAGATTTAGGTATATTTTTTATCAATAAATTTATTAATTTAATTAGGTTTATTAATTTAGATAACTTTAACTTCTTTTTTGTACATAATTAAAATTAATTAGAACAAATAGGTTTTTATTTCTAATTTAATTATATTTTCTTTTCCTAAAAATAACCAAAAATATAAAAAATAGGTCATGTAATTATTTTTATTAATTAATTTAATCACTAATTAATTTGCATATTTATTTTTAACCTAATCTTTTCCTTAAAAAATATTAAAAACAAAAAAAAAAAAATTTTCTTTTGATTAGGCTAGAAGGGTCAAAACGCTAATTTTTCGTCGATCTAATTTTCATCGCGCGCTTTATTATTATTTTTATCCATATTGATGTAACTGTCTACAGTTTGTAATAGTTTAATTAGGACGTTTATTTCCATTTATCGCTTTATTTTCAAAGGGTTTGTTTTTGGCTATGTAAATACCCGAAGCCTTGTAATAGCGTAGTTTAATTTCCGCATTTTAAATTCCACAAATTATTAACTGTTAGATGTATGATATTAGGATGCATGACAAGAATTTATGTAATTTTAAAACAGTTAGACAATCCTAAATGTGCAAAGATAATAAATCTGAAACTGAATCACTCGCACATGCGCACTCCTAGGGTACACACCCACTTGGTTGCCTTCGGTAAACGGTCATTGAGTATAGGATGCTTTAGTGGTCGTCCTTTTGTCTAAACAAAGATCAAAGTCCCGATTCGGAAAAGTTGCCTCGGAATGGTTGCCTCGAATAAATTGATCTAAGACATTAGGGTTATTACTAAGACGTCCTAACATTGCTTTAGTGACCGTACGTCCCTTTCGAATTGACCCCTAAAAACTCCAACGACGGTGCTACCTACTCACTAATAGTGGGATAGCATTGTCTAAAGGAAATAAACATAGAACGATTCTTTTTTCGAGTAGGTAGATTAGTTCTTAAGTACTTGCTCAAACAAAACAAACTTTTTCACACTTACACTCCTTTACAAACAAAGTTTTCAAAACACTTCATTACACTCTTGAAAACGGAAGCAAGAGTTAAATCGAAGTTAAAACAAAAACTTTTCAAAGCACACAAACACAAAGAAAACAATTTTGAAAATGATGAGCAAGTACCTAAGAGCCCGTAGATAACTACGGATAAAAAGGGTGCTAATACCTTCCCTTTCTATAATCTACCCCCCGTACTCAAAAATATCTCGAAAAGGGAATTTTTCTTTGCTTTTTTCCTTTCCTTGTTGGATAAAATAAAAGACGGTGGCGACTCTTGCTTACCGCGACATTTTGCGAAAACAAATGCAAAACGCAAACCAGCAAATTCCTAAATAAATAAAAAAAAGGGAAACACGTCCCAGTTCTGGCCACCGTATCACAGGTGGTATGGTAGGAAGGAAATGTATCATATATGTCTTGGGTGTTATGGTAGGATGAGGAGGGTGCATATTATTGTGTTTATGTGTGTGGTATAAATTGATGACGAGTTTGGTTGAATTTGGTGGTGTATGGTTGTTGGGTTTGAGTGGGTTGACAATGTGGTTGGGTTTGGTATTATTGAGGGGTTAGTTGTTGGGTTTGGTATTATTGAGGGGTTGATTGTTGGGGTTGTTGTTGGGCGTATGTTGCAGCTCTTTGGCGTGGGTCGATCAAATATGTCTCTTGAGACAAAAACAGATTTGTTGAAATCGATGTGTACCATCTCAAATATTGGAGAGTCAGTTTTAAGTCATCTTGCGAGATCGACTCCCTTAGGACCAGTTCACGTCGATGCCTCCATTGACGACATTGATTTTTAGCGAAGTCTCTCAAATCATCAAATCCTCATTGGTCGTCAACTCTGAGTAGATGCCATTGTCCCAAACATGTAGGGGGTCAGAGATACCCTGTTGCATGCCGAACTGTAGCTTCACACGATCACTATGGTGCATCTCCATAATAGTGAACCTGATGAGTGTTGTTTTTGCAGTCTAGACTTCAACATCACTTGGGTTAATCTCACGGTCGAGATCCTTATACGGCCTCCATACAAACTGTAAAGGAAAAAAGTGTTAAGCTAATATTAATATTAAACTTAATTAACCTATTGAAAGCGTTGTATAAAATATGTAAGTTTAATACCTCTTCGGGTTCAACATGATCAATAAGCTTTAGTAGACTACTATTGTGTTTTGAGGGGATTTGTTGTAATTCAACCCAGCAACAGACCACCTACATAGAAAAAATGGGTAATAAATTAATACATGTTGGTTATAATATATAGTATGTAAAATTTGTGTTTTTGTAATCTTACTTTGTAGCAAAGGAGGATTATTGGCCTGCTTATCAAGGGGACATTGTTTGGTACAATGAACAAATGCGACCGAAGAAAAAGGGGCGCCCCAATAGCACTCGTATTAGAACTGAAATGGATACAACCAACAAAATGATAAGATTATGCAGTACATGTCGTCTTCTCGGACATAATCGAAAAAATTATCCGAATATTGGGTCTAGCTCTGCAACCTAATTTTTTTATAGCAAACATTAATTTGTTGTACGCAAGAAATTTCAATTTGAATTCGGGTTATCATTTCGTGTTCAATTTATCATTCGATTACAACAACCTTCTCATAATGACCCAAAAAATTATAACACCGCAAACTCGGGATAACAACATAACAACATGATAAGCAGATAAAACAACTAAACAAATCATAATATATAAGAGATAAAAACCACCAACACAATATCGTCTGGTCCAAGCATCATCATTATGACATCAGTGTCGCATCTCACCTTTTTCCATGATCGGCTTACTCCATTTTCGTTCCTCACTGTAATTTGCCTTTCTATTTTTCTGATCTATTCACCTTCAGGAATGTCTCCTTCCAACCAGCGAATCAAGTGCATCTGAAAATGCTCGAACGTCTGTGTGTTCCAGAGTTTGATCTTCATCGGAGGCTTTGTCGCTGAAAAAATAACATGCGCATCTCTTTTGATCAGTGAAAAAGTTGGCAAGGGAGTGGAAGACATTTTCTAAGAGTTATGTGAGAAATGGTGCGAAAAATGAAGAGGATGGGTGGTTGGATTTATAGAAAACCATATAACACTATCAAGCCACACTACGTGGCACTTCCTCTCTATTATTACATGCATGCGCCACACTGCATGACGTTACAGAGGAGGACAAGTCATGCAGTGTGACGCCTCATCTTTAAATTGTATGCATGCGCCACACATAATGGTTATTCATCTGTGTGACAAAAAAAATTTATTTAAAAAATGGTTATTTTGATAAATTTTTTAAAAATGTAGTTATTTAAAAAAAAAATTAAAAAAATATGATTATTTAAAAAGAAAAATTCAGACGAAAATACTATTTAAATATTTTATTTTTTTCTCTATCAACTTGAAACACTCCATATAGTCATTTTAAATAATTTATTGTTTTCTTATGAATATATATTCCAATAAATTGCTACATACAAGTTAAAGGGATACATATTCTCTACTATAATATGTTCACAATGTAATCAATCACGACCATTGATAAAAAATGGAATTTTTTATTTTTTATTTATTTTTAATGATCTACTAGTATAGTTATAGGTACTTTAGTTGATTGAAGGTGAAGAAAAACCTTAACGAGTTAAGTTACTTGTTGTCACTTACCGTATCACTAACCCGTACAAGTGTACAACAACATTATGTAATTTTCCCATTTGGTTTCACTTATTTATAAGAGAAAATACAAATAAAAAATTATTTATAAAACAAAAAAACAGTTAAAAACGACGTCGTTTGGTAACCGGAATCCACTATGCCCTCACTCACCAGGATAAAGATTATAGTAGCGATTAATTTAAATGACGCGTTAGATCCAACGGTCATAAACAAAACTCACTATATCCGAGTCACAGCGGTCTCACAAATAACTCGTGTCACTCGGTTTCACGACTCAGTACTAGACTCACTCACCTTCTATCTCTCGTCTTCCAACCCTTATTTTCTCACTTTTTTTGTTACCTCTGAACAACATAACATTGCGTTCATCCCTGTTATTTGCGGTGGCCTTTTTCGTCTTTTCACTCTCTCCCTTTTTCATATCCAATCACACGGTCCATCTCTTCCCACGTCACCTTCGTCTTCTTCATACCCTCCCCACCTTCTTTTTCTGTTTCTCACCCCCCCTTTCTTTTCTCTTTCACTATATAACCAATTTTTCACCCTTTTAGGGTTTCACTTTTTCATTCTTCATTCTTCATCGCTCTCCGCCACCTTACGAAATCGTTTCATGGTTCTCGCTACTTCCTGATTCCTCCTCCGATTTCATCATCGTTACTTCGATTGAGGTATTCTTCATTCAAATTGATTCCTTTTCGTTTTTTTTTATATATATATTTTTTAATTCGTGTGTTTGATTGTTACTATTATTGTTGTTTTTTAGATTGAGCATGTTTAGATTTGTTAGGGTTTTTTAATTAATTGTTGTTTGATTTTGGTGTTGTTTTTGTTAGGGTTTGGATTGAGATTGAGATTGAGATCTGTTTGTTTGGGGTTTGAATTTTTTGAATTGGGTTTCCAAACGCGCTTTTTGGCGGCAGTTTGGTGTTGTTATGTTTGATGGCAATTGAGAAGAACAGTTTTAAGGTGTCGAGGATTGATTCGGAGTGTTCCCCTTTGAGTAAAGAGACTATGTCGAGTGGGGATGAGGAGGATGTTCAGCGGCGGAACTCCGCGAATGAATCTGATGAAGATGATGATGAGTTTGACGATGCTGATTCTGGGGCGGGGTCGGATGATTTTGATTTGCTTGAATTGGGGGAGACTGGGGGAGAGTTTTGTCAGATTGGGAATCAGACATGTAGTATTCCGTTGGAACTTTACGATCTTTCGGGGCTTGAGGATATACTTTCGGTGGATGTGTGGAATGATTGTTTGAGTGAGGAGGAGAGGTTTGAACTTGCTAAGTATCTTCCTGATATGGATCAAGAGAATTTTGTTCAGACTTTGAAAGAGCTTTTTACTGGTTGTAACTTTCAATTTGGGAGTCCAGTTAAGAAGTTGTTTGATATGCTGAAAGGTGGTCTGTGTGAGCCGAGAGTTGCTCTTTACAGGGAGGGCTTGAATTTTGTTCAGAAGCGGCAACATTATCATTTGTTGAGGAAGCATCATAACAACATGATTAGCAATCTTTGTCAGATAAGAGATGCTTGGCTCAACTGCAGAGGATACAGTATTGAAGAAAGGCTCCGTGTCCTGAATATTATGTCCAGTCAAAAGAGTTTGATGTGTGAGAAGATGGAAGGTTTGGAGGCTGATTCTTCAGATGAGCAGTCTGGTGAAGGTATGTGGAGTAGGAAGAACATGGAAAAGAAAAATGCCCAGAAATTAGGTCAATTTCCTTTCCATGGTGTGGGTTCAGGTTTAGAATTCCATCCACGAGAGCAATCAGTGGTTATGGAACAGGAGAAGTCTAGCAAGCAAAACACTAGAGGTATACTCAAGCTGGCTGCTTCAAAGACTCATTCAGCAAAGGACCCAACAGGTCACTCGTCTTCTGTCTACCATGGTTTGGATATGAGCCCCAGGCTTAATGGTTCAGCTTTTGCTCGTTCTCAACATATTAAGTCAACTGGATATGATGTGGGGTCAATCCACAGAACGAGGGATCCGTTGTGGAATGAAGACAACGAGGATATGTCATTTGGACTAAATGTCCATCGAGATCGCAATGCATTCCGTGGCAGCCTGATGGACAAGTCTGGTGCCCCAAGAGTGGGAAAGAGGCATGAATTTCTGAGAGGTGATGAAATAGAGGGTGGCAATTTGATGGGTCTGTCTATGTCTTCGAAGACTGATCTCCATGGATACACAAGAAATCCAAACCAATTCTCTGATTTGCAGTTGTCCCCGGCAAACCCCCCTTCTAAGAGAGGTTCACACGAGTTTCCTAGAAAGGGAAAGTATGCTGAAAATGTTCAACAATTTGTAGGCAGTGTTCAGGCGAAGTCAAGATCAAGGGGCTCAAAGACATCACATAAAGCTGATATGATTGAGTCTCCATACCATGATGATCTTTTCAGCAACAAAACACCAGGACAGGAATTTGGTACAGATTCAGTACATATATATGACGATTGGAATCTAAAAAGCAATAAACGGAAAGCAGATAGAGATTCTCCTGATCTCAGTTATACAGCTTATAGGTCTTCCTCCCCACAGGTCAGTGATAGACTTCTATCCTCTGATTTTAGAACAAAATCATTGCAAGATAAGATCAGAGGGAATTTTGTACCGAATGGAGTAAAAGATATGAAGTCTGTGAGGGCTAGCCATATTCTCCTAAGAAGTGAAGAAACTGAATCAGATTCATCAGAACAGTTGGATGATGATGAGGATAATAATCTTTTATTACAGAGAAAATTTACTTACCCAGTTGGTACAGTTGCTGGTTCTCTGACAAAATCATTGAAGTCTCATCTAGATCCTAAGAAGGCCAAATTTGGTAAGACAGATATGAAGGCACATGTTATAACTCAATCTAAAAAGAAAGGTGGCTTTGCAGAACAGGGAAACATGCATGGAGCAGAGAATTACCTTTCAAAAAATGCAAAGCAGAAGAGTAAAATAATCAATGGCGGTCCTTTGCGTAACCCTGCTGGTAAATTCTTTGAAGAGAACTATCCCTCAGGATCAGATATGCTAAATGGTGGTCATGATGATTGGAGACAGTTATATAAAAGCAATAATGAACGAATGCGAGGGGAACCTGTTGAAAGGTTTGATGTACCATCATCAGTTGCATATGCTGCTGAGCATAAGATGAAAGGGAGAACTGGCCTTGATCATTCTATTTTGAGGTCAAAATATTTACATGATTATGGCCATGATGAGGACGAATCACTTGAGAATCGGTTGCTAGGGGATGAAAATGGAGTTGGACATGGCAGGTTTTGGAGAAAAGGGCAGAAAAATGTTGCAAATAAGGATGAGCATAATGAAAGATCTGACGCACCATTACTTGGTTGTAACTCAACAATGAAGAAGCGAAAAATGAAGCATGGTGCAGCCGATTCTGTTGGAAGAGATGAAGATGCCAATCTGCTGTCAAGCAATCCTCCCAAAACAGATGACTTGCCTTCTTTTTCTATGAAAAAAAAGTCAAAGAAAAAAACAGGGGCTGATATGGTTATTTCTGAAGTGGAAAATTCTGAATTGCCTGTTACTGATACAGGGACAGCAGACATGGAACTGGAAATCAAGCCACAAAAAAAGCCATTTATTTTGATCACACCTACTGTCCATACTGGATTTTCATTTTCTATAATGCATCTTCTTTCTGCAGTCCGCATGGCAATGCTTAGTCCACCAGCAGAAGATAGTTTGGAGGCAGGGAAACCTGTTGTACAGCAGAATAAAACTCAGGAAGACAGTCCCAATGGTGTTATTTCTAGCGATAAGGTGGCTGCCAATGGTGAAGCTTCTGGCCAACTAAATATGCCATCTCTTACAGTTCAGGTGATTGTCAATCGTGTGAGATCGAACCCTGGTGATCCCTGTATTCTTGAGACACAAGAGCCATTGCAAGATTTGGTCAGAGGCGTTCTAAAGATATTTTCTTCCAAAACGGCACCTTTAGGAGCAAAGGGTTGGAAGGTACTAGCAATTTATGAAAAATCTACCAGAAGTTGGTCATGGACTGGCCCAGTTTTACAAAATTCATCTGACCGTGGTACCATTGAGGAGGTGGCATCTCCCGAAGCTTGGGGCCTTCCTCATAAGATGCTCGTCAAGTTGGTCGATTCCTTTGCCAATTGGTTGAAATGTGGTCAGGATACTCTTCAACAAATAGGAAGTCTCCCTGCACCACCCTTGGAATTGATGCAAGTCAATCTTGATGAGAAGGAAAGGTTTAGAGACCTGAGGGCCCAAAAGAGTCTCCACACCATAAAGCCAAGTTCGGAGGAAGTGAGGGCTTATTTTCGCAAGGAGGAACTTCTCAGGTACTCAATTCCCGACAGAGCTTTCTCATATACTGCAGCTGATGGTAAAAAGTCTATTGTGGCTCCTTTGAGAAGATGTGGTGGGAAGCCAACATCAAAAGCCAGAGACCATTTTATGTTGAAACGTGATCGCCCACCACATGTTACAATTCTCTGTCTTGTGCGAGATGCAGCTGCTAGGTTGCCTGGAAGTACTGGTACTAGAGCAGATGTTTGCACATTAATTCGAGATTCTCAATACGTTGTTGATGATGTCACTGATTCACAAATTAACCAAGTAGTTAGTGGAGCTTTGGATAGATTGCATTATGAACGTGATCCTTGTGTGCAATTTGATGGGGAGAGGAAACTGTGGGCTTATTTACATAGAGAAAGAGAAGAAGAAGATTTCGAGGATGATGGCACGTCATCCACAAAGAAATGGAAGAGGCAGAAAAAAGATGCTGCTGATCAATCTGATCAGGCACCAGTAACTGTTGCTTGTAATGGGACTGAAGAGCAAAGTGGATATGATTTGTGCTCTGATCTCAATGTGGATCCACCATGCATTGAAGATGATAAGGGAGCAGTCCAACTTATGTCTAATGATACAAGGCTGAATGCAGAGGATCATGTTGATGTTAATCCTGCTGCTCTAGAAGGCAATGTTTGTGAGGACAATTCAATGGCTTGGGAGACTCTTGACTTGAACCCTACTCGAGACTTATGCCAAGAAAATTCAACAAATGAAGATTTTGGCGATGAATCCTTTGGGAGAGAAAGGCCCGTTGGACTACTAAGTGCAAGCTTATTATGAAGAAAACTGCAGGTATTGTAGCATTATTATTTCTCTTAATATCTTTCAGCAACATACAATAAATACTACAAATTGGAGTATCTATTAATGTTTGTGATGTCAGTGTCCTTACACAAAATCCTACATGTTTCTGCAGGACTCAGTTCATCTGCATTCAAGAATTCAATCACACTGGTTATAGCTGTGGTTGTATATATTGCGGGCGCAGTATCTTTGTATATTGATTTGGACGGAAAGAATAGGATAGAATGTGTGATCTTGTTGAAGATCATGGAAAGCTGGTTAGGTTAGCTGAATGTTTTTGTGGCTTTACTTTTCATAAAACAAATAATAACACCTTTTGGGTCTCGATATACATTGATCCTATTTTGCTTCTTGTGTGAGGGATCAAGAAGCTCAAGTGTTGTGTTGCCATTGTATTGCATCGCAAAATTCTTCTATTATTGTGTATATTATACAGTTCCATCAACATGATGTCAGTAGTTCATCCAATAAATCTGTTCATCCAAATGAACAGGACAAAATATTTATTAGGACACAGATAGGAAAGAGATGGCATTTTATGCTCTTTACATGATTGTATATTTTTATGCTTGGGTGATCAGTAATTAACTTCATTATAAAGTGAAGGGGAAATTAATTTTCAGAATTGTAAACATCAATTTGAAGTCATTGAATTTTATAAATTGGTAAATATATCATCATCAAAATTGTTACAGATTGGTATTCCCTCCCTAATGGTATGTAAGAAAAAAAAACCACCCTTGAGAAATTGCAAACATGAGGAAAAAAAACCACCCTTGAGAAACCACCCCCTCTAAACATTATTTGGAGTCATGATTTGTGTATTTTTTGAATAAGTAAAGACTTAAAAACAATTTTTAATTGGTTGTTGGTTATGGAAAAAATAGAGAAAAAACAATTTAAAACAAATTTATATTTTGTTTTATTTAAAAAAATGTATTTTTTGCATTAGATAAAATTAATTTTTTAAATAATTTTATAAGAAAATGAGTAACTTTTTTTAAATATCACGAATGATAAAATTTGATATTTTATTAGTGTGAATTTTGAAATATATTAGATTGAGTTAGACTTTGTCAAATTTAATTTAAGTCGGACATTAAAAAATTTGAAGTTTAAAATTAATATTAGTTTATCGTAAATTTATTTTTATTTTTTAACTTGAAGTTTAAAATTAATATTAATTTATCGTAAATTTATTTTTATTTTTAAGCTCTGAAGATTTATTTAGTTTATTAATCTATTTAAATGTTTATTTAATTTGAACATATGTAAATAATTAATGGAATATCTTCGTATAGGTATTGGTTTAGTATACAATTATTTTACTAAAAGAATTTATTATTGTTAAAAAAAACATATTTTTTAAAGAAAAATAAAATTATTTATCAAAATTATTTTACATCAATAATATATATTTTAATTTTTCATATATTATCTTTAAAAATATTGTATTTTAAATTAAAAATAATTTTAAAATAAAATATCAGTAACAAATAATTAAAAAATAATTCATTTTTCCCGTGTTTGAATTCATATATGATTTTAAGTATTTTTATTTTTATTTTCTTTAAATATATATCGATGTCTTCACACGAATTTTGGTTCCCACGAGTACATATTTGTTACATCCATTTCTTTTTAAAATGTAATACGAATAAAAAAAAGAAAAATAAAATTGCTTAACTAAAAGAGTTTAATTTTTTTTTAAAAAGACATATTTTTATTTACATTTGAATTATATATATAATATTTTCAAATATAAAAATAATTTGATCAACGAGATTTTTTCGGTATGTAAATATTATAATTATTTTGATATTATTTATAAAAATATTTAGATTAATAGAAATTTTTTTTCATAAAAATAGTAAGAAAGCAAAATTTCTACAATCAATAATATTTGTTTTGATAAAATTTGGATCAAGAATGATTGATATAATTTTTACAATACTAAGAAAGCAAAATTTCTAGTATTTTATATCAAAAATAAATATTTGTAGTATATTATTTATTAATAATAAATATTTGTCCCATGATTATTTATTTCAATATTTATCAAAAATATAATATTTGGCAAAAAAATTTGTATGCATAAAATGTAATTTTTTGTTATAATTTTTATTTTAATTAATAACACAAGACTATGTACAATTATTTACATATTCCATTTTTTTTTTTTTACTTTATATACTCCACATTTTCTCTTTCTTCTATATAATAATTCAACTTTTATTCACTACCATGATTTTGTTTAATAAAATTCAACATCCTACCCTATCACTTTTATTTCATATTTTTATTTTCTTTTATATTTTTATTTTTGTGATTTTATACTATCAATTATCGATTGAAATAAAGTTAAAATAATTAAGAGTTAAATACTTTATTTTGATTTTTTTCTAATTTAATAATTTATTTGAACTTTTTTCTAATTTTATATTCTTAATTTATTTAAATATTTTTCTAATTTTATAGAGATAGTCATTATTAAAATAAATAAAAGTAGATAAAACAAGAGTTTATTGGAGGTTAAATAGAAAAAATAAATTTTTTCTGTGTGTTCAAATCAAATGAACAAAATTTCTATTTATAGACACAAAAATGATGAATTTTGGTAAAAATACAAATAAATAAAAAATTAATTTATTATAAAATAATTGATTCTGAATAATTAAGGTGAATTAAAAATCTAAACAATCGCAACAATCAATAAGATTTTGCAAAGTATTATATGTGGCCTCACTCCCTCCTCATTCAACATGTTGAATGTTTTCAACACCAATTAATTCATCTCATTTTCAATCATTTATTCAACACCTCATTGCACATATTCATCATTGAATAATTTTTTCAACACCCCCATTATGCATGAGTCTAAAAATCATTTAACCTATAAAATTATTTTTAACCAATTTATTAATAATACTTTTTAATTATAATCTAGTCAATGTCACATTTTTTTCCATGTGCATCTCAATTATTGATACTGATTACCTTTTTTTTAATAAAAGATCGCTGTCTGGAATTTGAAAACCCTAATCGCTAACTCGACGTAGTACTGTTGCCGACACAATTACTTTCTTCCTTCCTTGACTTTATGGCTCTCTGAATTCAATGAAAGTTGAAGATCTTTTCCCTGAAGTTAGTTTCGCCCCTCTTTTTAACCCAGGCTCCAATCATAAAGCTTCTTCCTTCGAAACGCTTCTCCTCAGAAATCATTCACCCAAGCCCTTAAGGGTGTTTGTGACATTCCATCTTCTCAACTCCTTCTGCCGGTCATCAAAAGGGATCGCCCTTCTATCACGATTCCAAAAGAAGAATATTTAGCAGGTTTGAATGAGTGTAAGAACAATCTTCACATGTGGGTTCTTTGGCCTAAAGACTCCTCACTGCTCACAGTTGCAACACTTTGGTTGAAACTTTCCACGATTTGGTCTGATGTCAGAAATTGGGGAGTACTTCTCTTGGTAAAGGTTACTATGAGTTCATATTTTCAAGCGTTGAAGACATGAGAAGAGTTCGAGCTAAAGGCTCGATTAACTTAAGTCCAGGGTCGTTGAAGTTATTTGCTTGGTCGAAAAATTTCAGTCTCTCTTCTCAACAAAATACCTCTGCTCTGATCTGGGTCCGTTTTTTTGGTCTATCACAGGAATACTGGAGGTCCCGTATTCTATTTGCTATTGCTAGTTGTGTTAGAACTCTCATTTGTATTGATGCGACTTCTTCTAAATCGAGAGTTGACAGAACTTTCAGATAATTTGTTCGTGTTTTGATTGATATGGACCTTTCTCAACATATTAATTACAATGTTCTTGTAGAGAGGGAAGACTTTACTTTTTTCTCTAATATCGAATATGAAAATCTTCCTGATTTCTGCTCCCACCGTAAGAAAATGGGGCATGATGTTCAAAACTGCAGATTTTTAAAGAAGCCCAATATCCAACAAGGTTCTAAACCTAAGGTGTCTTTTGCTCCTAAACCCGCGGCTATACATGAAAATACTTTGGGGAATGTTGATGCTAATATCAATAACCCAAAATCATTTAGTTCAATCGAACTTGAAACTCAATTGTCTTTTGTCTCTCGTCACAGTTCGATGAAGACAGAATTATAATGAAGTTGCAAGAGCATGAGAATCAGCATATGCGGGACGTATTAGACATTGGACAGAAGTATCTAAGAAGTCGACATGATTTGTTTTGTAATGATATTACTATACTTTTGCATTATATGCATATGTTTTATCCACTATACTTTGACAAAAAAGTATAAGAAAAAATGTTTTTCAAAAACTTTCTTTACAACCTATCAAACTTTTCTAAATATCTGAAATTTTTGGTGCATATATCAGATTTTTTTAAAAATCTGATAAGTTTAATAAATTTCTGGATTTTTTAAAATATCTAGTAACTTCATTCTGGATTTTTTGAAAAATCCGTTATTTTGTTTTATTTTTCTAGAAAGACTTAAATTATTACCTGCAATTTGTAAATGTTCGGTATTTCTGCACTTTTGCAAAATATCCAGTAATTTTTCAAAATATCCCATAATTCTACCTCCAAACAAAAAATTTAACAAAATATCCAATAATTAAATGAAAGATTTGAAATTTGTCAAAACTTTTTTAAAATCCAATAATTTATAATAAGGATAAATCGTAATCACAACTATTTTGAAATGTGTCCGACTCAACTTAAGGATGACAAGAAAAATTCCTCATGATTAAGGAGTTATTTGTTTGTTTAAGATTATAATTTATCTTTTACATCTGTTATATGTCTGCTTAAGTTTATTTTTCTATGATTAGTTTTTAGATTTTGTAACAGGGATATTCATTATTGGAGAGAAAAAATTGTGCATGTGAGCAATAGTGATAATCATTTTGAAACAAACTTAAAATTGTTTTTGTTTTCTTGAAAATTTGTAAATAATCATTTCTAAATTATACATATATTAAAATCGTTATTTTAATGTATAGCATATGATGTCCCATGGATCTCTTGTTTTGTTATATCACCAAGAACTAAATTTTATGTACATTTATGAGTTGAAAATTATTTCCAAATGGTTGTCTATAATAAGTTATCGAAAGTAACTCAGACCATCACCTGCCAGCTAGTCTAGAAGTTTGTGGTCCTGGTCATATGTCCAATTCCAAGTGGTACTGATGCTATCATCACATATCACCAATCCTTATCAGTTGATAGATTCCATTTGTTTTCCACATGATTCAATGGCAATGTTAAAAGCAATTACTAAAACAGAAAAATAAGTTTTTGAATGTAACAAGTACTTCCAATTCCAAGCTGCAGCTTTTTATCACAGACAGCCTTGACCTGGGACCTATTAATCTGTCCCCGTCCACTTCAAAAACTTGTCCCTTTACCCTACACTTAAGAGAAGTATCTCTTCACATGTGACCAGGCTGTTGTTCCAACAGTTCTTCCCATGTTTGGGATTCTCACTCTGTCTCTTATTTATGGCAAAATATCACACCCACCACCAGCACCCGTATTTAGGAGGATGAACAAAGCAAAGTACTCTCTATTT